ACTGAGGCAGCCGCGGGAAGGGCGGCGGCGCCGAGTTGCGGCCCTTGAGAGCGACGCGTGCTTGCCCGAGCGGCGCTGCCCGGCCCGTGCAGCGACGCGCGGCCCAACATGGCGGCGGCGCCGCTCCCGCCCGGCGCGGGCCCGGATCGCCGGCGGCACCGGGGGCAGATCCACGGGGAGATCTCTCCATCCATGCGGCGGGCTCTCTGTGCCCTTGGATTGAGCTGTTCTCGGCGCGCTGTTCTTCTGTGGAGCCGCGGATCCCGCCGCGGGGTCGGCGCAGGGCGGGCAGGGTGTGGCGGGCGCGGCGGTGGCTCCGCGGCTCACTCACACTGCGGGCTGCCTGTGTTTCGTGTCCCCCCAGCTGCGGGAGTACAAGGTGGTTGGGCGGTGCCTGCCCACGCCGAAATGCACGACCCCTCCTCTGTACCGCATGCGGATCTTTGCTCCGAACCACGTCGTCGCCAAGTCCCGATTCTGGTACTTCGTCTCTCAGCTGAAGAAGATGAAGAAGTCTTCTGGAGAAATTGTGTACTGTGGCCAGGTGCGTGATTCCAGCTGGTGTATGTGAAAGGAATTTTTAGGAATTGCTGTTATTGGGACTGAGACTGAAATTCACTCATCCGTCAGTTGCTGTAAAAAGAAGTGAGAAATCTCTTTTTTGAAAGTAGGGGTATATGTCCTGTAAACTAAATAGAAACTTCCCAACATTTCAGAATTATGAACCATGTCACTAGTCAGCGCTGCTGTCTTATTCTTGGATTTGCTTCATTGGCCAGTATACCTTTTAAGAGACATCTGGACATTCATAATAGTGGGAGAGTGGACGTTTATATGCTTATACTCCTCTGCCTTGATTGTTCTTACTTCAAGAACATTCTTTAGAGCTGAAGTCTTGTATTTTTCTTTCCATGATGAATTACTAAAACTCTACAGTCTGAATTACCCAGACATAAATCCAGTTATGCTGTTAGAGCAAAGAGTTGTTTTTGACAGTAAAACTTAGAACAGTGATTTCATTAGAGCTCTAAAATATTTATTCTTAAAAGTGTGAAGTGGCGATAGCGCATTGTCTCTAACCACTTTCATGCTCTTCTGTTATTCCAGGTGTATGAGAAGTCCCCTCTGCGGGTAAAAAATTTTGGTATCTGGTTGCGCTATGATTCTCGTAGTGGAACCCACAACATGTACAGGGAGTACAGAGATTTGACCACAGCTGGTGCTGTCACTCAGTGCTGTAAGTATCTGTAAATGAGGTATAAATGATAGCATCAATATATAACAGAAGATTGAATCTCAAACTGAGCATGAAGTGTGCTGACTTAATCCATGGTAAGATAACTAAAACACTGGAAAAATAAAGTAGGGGGTTGCCAGATAATTCCATGGTTGTTTATGTATGTATATGCGGAATCTTATTTGTTACCGGTCTTTATACAGTGTCACTGAAAATATTCCCACTTCATCCTGGTGTGACTTTCTACAATTCTAGTAATGAGTTTTACCCTACAAACTGAGAGTATAATGATCCTTTAGGTACTATATATATTTCTTGCACTATATTTATTGTTTTACGATAATGGAATATATATTGCCAAGTCTTGTGGAGAGAATATTTCAGATATCATGTGGAAAATACTAGCATCTGTCCTGTGGAGAGCAAGTAAAAAAAAAAAATCACAGGAAAAAACCTATAGTCTTTGTTACTCCAAGATCTCATTGTCTCAGTTCAGGGAGAATTAAAGGTTGACCTGATTTCAGTCTGTTTTGTGAAGTACTTGAGGGATAGACCATTTGTATAGCTGATGCTGTTGATATTTGACTCCACAGTGTTATAAACACTACAGAATGCACATAAAAACCCAAAGAATATTGTTCTTAATAATGATATTCTTGTCATGTGTGCAAATATTAAATGCATCTTGTCGCCTTTCAAAAGCTGAAGTGCTGTTGAAAGTGAAATTTAAGGTTCTACATTACCTTACAATCATCCCCGTTATTTAACATACTGAAGGACTGCTTAAGAGACCAAGAACCTTATTTATCATGATACAGTGACTGATGCTTTTATGTTCAAGAATACTTGTGACAGGTAAGTTTTTAATAGGTATGTTAGGTCTTCATGGGAAACCTTATAAGCACAATAGTATTTCAACAGGCATATCTTGTGAAACTGGCTATGGACATCTTGATTTGAAGGCAGCGATTTGCACTGCTGTAGGGAGGAATTTTCAGGTAGCCCATGCACAGATGGCTTCCTCTTGTTCTGAAAGCCTAAGCATGTGGGCTGAATATCAGATTCCATCACTGGTCAGTTTCAGAAAAGTAAAGATATCCTCAGGTCCTACCTTTACTTGCACCTTCCAGCAATCATACTTCAGGGTTAATTCTGAATCACAGGAATTTTTTCTTTTGCAAAAAATGAAATAGTCTCACATATATTTCTTCTATACATGTGTGCATTCTTGAAATCAGGCAAGAATAATAAGATGGCACTTTCTGAGAGGAGTTTAGTAATGAGTTATTGGAAGAATTTGCTGCTGCCTGTTGATTCCGTGATATTTGTACCATCACTTTACATATTAAATCCAGTATGATTTTAACTAGGGTTGATCAGAAATTTAGAAAGTTGTAGATGGCACTATGAACATTTCCTGAAAAGGCGTTTATAAGATTTTTGAACTAAAAATGTCCTTAAGATTCAGTTTTAATGAGTTCTCTTGTTCCAGACCGTGATATGGGAGCCCGTCACCGTGCCCGTGCTCACTCTATTCAGATCATGAAGGTTGAGGAAATCGCTGCCAGCAAGTGCCGCAGACCAGCTGTCAAGCAGTTCCATGTAAGTGAACCAGCACTGCAGTGGCTGGTGGGTCCTGATCCAACACTGGACTGGAAGAGGGGAGCTATCCTGTCTGGTACAGGTTTGCTTTGCAGCCAGAAATAGGGAGGGAACCAAACTTGTATGCAGAGGTTTACAATTCTGGTATGTTATGATCAAGGCTTCTAAAGCTAGAATTGTTTGGAAGAAAGTCACAATGAAGTGAATATGTGTTACAGTGCAGAAAACGTGCCTCATTTCTTTTAAAAAATGCAAAATTAAGGCATCCCTGAAGGCCTATGAAGTATATCTAATTTGTGGATGCATTACTTCTCTGTGTAAGTTATTCATGGAATACGGCTTGGCTATTTATTGCAAACTGTTTTCTGTTATTTATCTAATACTCTATTAACGTAGAAACATTTTTTCTTGCAGGATTCTAAAATCAAGTTCCCTCTGCCACACAGAGTTCTGCGTCGCCAGCACAAACCACGTTTCACCACCAAGAGACCAAATACTTTTTATTAAATACAAAAACATGCTGTCAACTCTGTGTTGCAATAAAGGTCTTACTTGAACCTTTGACTCCCAGTTATCTTTTGGAGACAGTGTCCTGACTCTTTAGGAGTCGTCCCCCTCCTACTCTTTATTTTCTGTAAACCATTGGCAGCTTGCAATTTACAGCTGTGATTGTCTTGAACAGGTGAATGTTTCACATGCTGATTTAAATTACTAAAATAGCCCATCAATAAACCAAATTTTAATAACCAACTTACCATGTCAGAGAAGTCTTACTGAGCATGTACAATCCTACATGCATTTTGTCTCTTCGGCACACTAAGTAAACAGTTGAATTCATGAAGAAGGCAGCTTTTGGTGCACTCAGAATTCAGACTTGTCAACTTCACTTAAGCTGCTTCCAATTTTAAGCATTTAAAGCCAAAATCGTAGTTCTAACCTGAACTTTTTCAAGGACGTTACACACCACATTGCTCAGAATTAACTCAAGTATGCATACAGAGGTGCCTGGAAATGAAAAGTGACAGAGGGCTAGGCAGACTTACCTTTGTTATTAGATGAATGAATGAAAACTATGAAAATTAATTTTTACATCCAAACCCAATCCTTAATGTATAATGCCATAGTAAAAAACTTCAGGCTCTGTGTAGTTAGGTTAATTAAGGCTGTTTCACACATAAAGCCAGCGTTTGGATCTGATACCTGCTTTCAGTGATGGTGTGTTTGGAATCTTTTCTGAACAAGAGGCAGTCAGCTGCCTAAGTTCGTACTTGGATCTTGCTGTTGTTAGAGAACTGATGCTGTGCTTTAGATGTTTGTTTAAAGACAAATGCTGGCACCAGTAGAGTGCAAGGGAAGTACTGTGCTGAGGGGAGCCTGGGAACGTTTTTATTCTGAGTTAGCTGGAGGGGAACTGTCTGTGTAAGGGCGGGTGGTTGTTCTGCAGAACTTGGACCCGTCAGTGCTGCCACAGCAGCCCCCCTTCCACAGCCTCACAGCCCTCTGGCTCAGCTTTGCACCTTTCATCCCCTCCACAGGGAATCAGTTCAGGCAGCTCATCTGTCCAAAACATGAATGAAAAAAAATGGCATTAATTTGGGCAATCCACTACCTCCCAGTCATGAGGGAGGGGGGAACTGTAAACCCAAAGTAGCTGGAGAGTCCTGTGGGACTCAAAGAGTGGGAATAAGGGCATCAGAACGACGTTGTTTTTTAGAACGTTTCAACTGAAAGAACGAAGCCCATGGAAACGGGCTTCAGAGTTAAGTTAAAGCACAAAATGTAACAGGCAGGGTGGAGGAGACCTCAGCAGGAACCAGCGCCGGTGTGTCCAGCCCGAAAACATCAACGCGCAGTATGTACGGGCGGATCTCTGGGGCTTCCGGCTCTTCCGAAGGCGGACGGCGCTGGAATACCGCCGGGCTCGGCGCTCCCGGTCTTCCCAAGCGCGAACACGGCTGGAACTCCGCCGGGTCCCCGGTCTTCCCAAGCGCGGACACGACTGGAACTCCGCCGAGCTCGGCGCTCCCCGTTTTTCCGTTGCCCCGCCCACCAGTACAGCGCGCCTCGCCCGGTCACGTGACCCCGACCCGTCCGCTGCCCGCCCCGCCTGTCACGTGCAGAGGGGCGGGCGCGAGCGCGGTCCCTCGCGCGCGCGGTCCCCGGCCCCGGAAGTGGCGGCCGCTGCGGAGGCGCCGGGCGGGATGGGGGAGTCGATCCCGCTGGGTGCGCCCGTGCCGGTGGAGCAGGCCGTGCTGGAGACCTTCTTCTCCCACCTGGGCATCTTCTCCTACGACAAGGCCAAGGACAACGTGGAGAAGGAGCGGGAGGCCAACAAGAGCGCGGGGTCCAGCTGGCTGGCGCTGCTGGCCGGGCTGGCGCACCTGGCGGCGGCCGAGAAGGCCTATCACAGCATGACCTTCCTGGGACAGAAGCTAGGTACCTTTCCGGGGAAGGAGGGACTGGCCCCACCGTCTCAGGCTGTGGCTCTCCCTCCCCGCTCTGGGCCCGCCCGAGCCGGGGGCCTGCCCCGGGTGCGGCTCCGCGGGGGGAAGCGGGCGGTGTGAGGCCATGTCAGCCCGTGGGTACACAGCGCTGGGTACCTGAGGGACTGGAGGTCTGTGCCTCGGCCAGGTGCGTGCCTGTGCATCTGAAAGACAAGTGCTGGGTCAGCAAGTGTCCCTGGGCCCGGGGAGAAATCGGCTGTGCTGTTTGGGCTGCGGCTAAAGAATAAACAAGAGTGCATGCAGGTGCAGTGCAGGTGGCACGGTGGCTCCTGTGCCGATCGATGCAGCTCTTCGCTGGCCGGCAGGCTACCTGCTTCCCCTTCCCAAGATTTAGCTAGAGATATTTCTGTGCTGAGATTCTCTGGCTGAGATCTGGGCAAGGGTGAGCTCAGTGGGGTGATGAAAGGGTTAAAGCTGATGTTAGATCTGCGTATGTGCAAGTACTTGGGGCTGGAGATAGCATCCTAAAAGTTATTACCCATGCAGACTCTGCAGGATCTCAAGAAGCTTTGGCCACAATCTTGGCTACTTCTTGCTTTCTTAGTGCATGAATAGAAAAATACCAAACTGGCACAGGATGGGTTGTCATCATGTTTCCCTCTGGGCAAGGCTGCTTGTTTTCTCTTTGAACTGCAGACAAGCATGGAAAATGGATCAAGGGATATGGGTCTGATGTGTAACACAGTAAAGCATCAAGAAAATTCTGCTTTGGTGTTTAAGTGGTGACTTGGAACTATTTTATATATTTACAGACAACACTGTCTATAAGACTGACTTTAAAAGTTAATTTGGTGCTTGCAGAAAGGATGAAATTGAGAACAGAAAGGACAAAGTTTTGTTTGTTTATATACTTCATAGACAACTACAATAGACGATTCTTCATCCTGCCCATGACACAAGGGCTACTCATGGCTTAGGAAGGGAGCTGTTTCACAATGATATCCAGTTCTCTGTCTTTCTGCCTCAAATTGCTAAGGTCACCTTTGAACATTATATATGTAAAATTTTGGATTACAAAATTTATAAGCAGTTTCAACATGGAACCTAAATTTGGAATTTTTAAAAGTTCCACCAACCCAATCCCTGTGATCCTTGCTCTGCTGCAGCTGTTGAGTGCCACAGTGGCACATAAGGTCTTCTGTAAATAGAAAGTGTGAAATAAGGTTAGTACATTTGTGCAGTCTTTTGGTAGTGTCAAAGTTAAATATCCTTTCCTTTGACCCTCTACTTCTGTCTTTTTTTTCTTTTTTAAATTTCTCATAGTGTTGAGCAGGTAGAAGGAAGCACAGACAACTTCTTCCCCCTTATCCCCCTCACCCCAGGTTTTAGTTACGGATTAACCTGCACTGTGGTCTCACAGAGATAAAGTGTGATTGTTTTCCCTTTGAATTTTGCTTTATATTAAGACCTTGTAGGGACTAGGAACGTTTGACTGGTAAACACAGATGTCACATGGTTCTGGCTTAAAGGTTGCTTTGCAAATTTGAGTGCTTCATGATTGAAGAGGGGTTGCTAGGGGAATTCTCCTCAAAAGATCTAGAATTAATTAATTTGATGGAGGCTATTAAAGTTTGATCAGTCACATTATGATGACTTGATTCTTCTGATTCCCATAGATGACAGTATTTGCAGGTCACGTATCATAGTAGCAAATTTAACTGAACCCTTGTTTTCTGAAAAGTCACACCATAACTGAGGGAGTTGAAGTTTTGCAGCAGTCATTGGCTGCTGAGATATAAACTGGACAAGAGTGGCTTGTGTGAAATTACATAAAGTGCTTCTGAGCATATGCTCTGTGTAATTCAGTGGCAAAATAACATACTGAATTTTGTTTCTTGGTTAAAAGAAATACTGTGATCAAACAACACTTAGGAACAGCTAGAAGAGAGCAAGCATGGTTATGTAGAATTTTCCAGTGTTGCTGTCTATCTTTGCTGTCCCTGAATTTTGGTAATACCTCCATATTTATCTGAACAGGTGGTCAGTCATTCTTCAGCCGAAAGGACTCCATCCGAACCATCTACACATCTCTGCATAATGAGCTGAAGAAGGTGGTGGCGACGGGTCACAATGCACTAGGAGGAACAGCTCCTCACTTGGAAGAGCTGCTTTCTCACCTGTCTGAACAGCTCTGTTTTTTTGTTCAGGCTCGGATGGAAATTGCTGACTTCTATGAAAAAATGTACACGCTCAGCACCCAAAAGTTCATTAACTCTGAGGAACTGGTAAACATTTTGGAATCCATCTTAAAGAAATACAGCTCAAGGTCAGTGCTTGTTTGCTGGCAGTACATACTCAGACACGTGATCTGTAACAACTGATGTTGAAGTTCAAAGCAAGCCTAAAGACTTTGCTGTCCTTTGACTGCTGAGCAGCACGGCTTCTTCACGAATGCATAAGTCTGTGTTGGCCAGCAGCATCATGTTTCAAAATATGAGTCCTCCAAAGAAGAAAAATAACAAAAGGAGAGTGTTTCTGCTCATGGTGTTCTAGGACCCTTCCTCCCTATTCCTTAATACTCAGCACATTTGTTTTCAGCAGAGAGGATGAGTGATTTTCGTTATATATAAGGTGCAAGGCTTCTTGCGCTTTTTCTTTGGGAGGGGAGAGGAAACAAGTCTTAATTCTGTATGGACTTCAGTAAAAGTGACATATAAATAAAACAAGATACTTGTGCAACAGTTTTACTTTTTAGGCTAGAATATATGTCTGCTTAATTCTAAAAGCTGCACCATAGCTATCTGACCTACCTGGAAGGGTTTTGTGGTGCTCTGTTAACCACTTCTGTTGAGAGGTCTTGGAACCAGGAGAAGAAGCACTTCTGAGCCTTCAGTCCCATTATTGTGTGTTGAAGTTAAGATCTAATAGTTCCTGTTAAAAGAATCCCAGAATGATGCTGGGGTGGGTATTGCACATCTGACATATGTGAGCCTTGAAAGTGATGGCAGTTTAAAAATGAGAGAATTTTTGAATGCTTGTCAACACACTCAAATTCTACCTCTTTATTTTAAACCAAAGCAAATCTTCATGAGTGAAATAGTGTCTAAGATGTTTGGGGAGAATATTCTTAGGTCTTACTTTTTTCAGTTATGATTTTTAAAGGGTTCACCTAGGAAAAATCAAAATAATTCAGTGCCGCTTTCTGATATTCCAAATTTAAACACTGCAGGTGACTTCCTTATTTTTTAGGAATAACCTTAGCAAAATGCTACATAATTTTGCAATCTGAAAATCAAAACTACTTTAATATGATCTTACTAGTGATGTTTTGGAGTTCTTGGCTTGTGAACCCTTACAATGGGTCAGGGCTGTTAGCCCAATAAAAAGCTGAAACTTATATATGATTTCCTTGGTGTGATAAACATTAAGGAGGAAAGGGAAGTACGTTTGGGGGGGCTTTTTTGAAAAGTTAATTTATGTTGTACACGAACCATTGCCATCTGTTCTGAGCATGTGCTGAATCCACAGCACTGTTAAAAATCTGAAAACCAAAACTCATACTTTGATGAATTGATTGGAGATTGTTGCATACAAAATGTTTTACTATCCTATAAATAAATTTCACCTCTGTACTTCTAAGGCATTGTTATATAATGTGTTTATATAACATACATTATATAATTATATGTATAATAACATCTTAAAAGAAAATAAGTAGTGTCTCCCTGGGAAAAATGCTGATGTTTTTACTTTGAGTTAATGAGCAATTCTAAGATGGAGACAATATAAGATGCTGTTAGAGCTGATTCAGTAGCTGCAGTGTGGTCCTTCCCAGTCACATAGCAAATACTTCTGAAAAAAAGTGGGCATAATGATATCTTCCTTTTGTCCTTTCTTTCAGTTTCTTCATATGTCAGATCAATTTCTGGGAGCTGTTATGTTGATGTGTACTGGCTGGAAGGCATTTCTGATTTACAGTCTCTTGATCCTCTCAGATGAAAGGTCAAATAAACTCATCCTTACCCAGTCTCTTTCCTCTGTCAGTATATTCCTCACTTGTCATTGAGGATGTGTGCCATTATTTCAGTCAGCTGTGCTAAGGCCAGACAGGGCATGTGTTTTCTAGATAAGTTCTGGCCTTGGTTTCTTTCCTTTACATGCAAAAATAGCTGTTCAGATGGTGTAGATGGTGTAGAAATGCTTGCTGGTAAAGGAACAGTTGAATTAATTTACTGTTAACAAGTCATATTGTCTGTATCTGAAAAATCTTTAGTTATTAAGTAGTTTAAAGCTATTTTGTTACTTTTTTTTGTTACTACTTATTGCTGACTTGTACACAGCCAATACTAGACATTTTCCTCTCCATTTCTCTTTAGAATACAGCTGGAGAAGTAACTTTTCGTGAAATTTTTAACTGTTGGTTTTGGGTGGGATCTTAACTGAAATAATTAAAACAGCATCAGGAACAGGTTCCTTTAAAAGCGTAGTATAAAATGAATAAGCAACTAGAAAACCTATTTGGATGTAATAATTTTTAAGTGTTGAATGTTCCTCATCCAGTCAGCATTTTGTAAATACATGTGTAAATGTGTGATATATGGATGGAAATAGAAAGAAAAGTGTGGCTTCTTCATAGTCTGCAAAACAAAACTCTGCTATTCCAAGAATGATTGGGGGGGGGAATTTTCCAATGTCTTTTTAAGTTTTTATCACTCTGGCTTATTAAAATATCATAAAAACATGTCTGTTTTGCATGATACTGAGCTCAAATGGTTCTGTGTTACAAAACTCAATTATATATCAGCAGATATATTTAGTAGATAACTTGTTAGCTTACTCTGCAACCATATTAGCATACTCTGCAAGCTTCTCATCTGTGGCTGAGGTGTGTATTTTTGAATTAAAACAGTTTAGCAAATCCCGCTGTGCAGTGAAACATTAAGAAAGCCATGAAGCAAAGTAGAAGTGGGAAGCTGTACATCATACTGTTAATGCAGGAGACTTTAGCAGTACTGAGTTAGTTGAGATTTTTAAACTGCTTTTAAGATTGAAGAATAACCTTCTTGATCTGACTGCAAGTGTGTTGAAACCACTGTGCTGTAATAGTGACTGTCTGGAACAAATAATCTTGTATAATGCTTTTTTACACTCTCGTAATACACAGCAACAAAACTGGTTTGTTTGGTGAATACCAAAACCTTTGGAGATCTTCAATGTTGACTGTTAGCAGAATATTATTTTTGATTGACTCTTGTTCAGTTTCTCAAAGAAATGTAAGTGTGCTCTGGACTTCTCAGTGGCCAGTAAGCACTTATCTCTGCTATAGCAGGTTGAGCTGGCAGTTGCTGATGTGTACTGTGTACAGAAGGTGGCTGGTCACCCAGCCTGACCTGTTTGCACAACGTGGTGCATCAGGTTTATGATATTCATATTTCATTTTCTTCAAATAAATTTGGACTTGCGTCTTAATAACAAATCCTTTCAAGACTCAAATTGTGGCTTTCAAAAAAGGAGCTGCTTAAAAATAGTGACAGAATTGTCAGACAATTTTCACGAGCCTAAGAATTAATGTTTTGACAAGAACCCGATAGAAAGTCAAATTAAAAATAATGAAGGGAGAGGGGAAGAAAAGCATGCAATTTTCGTTCTCTCTTCTGCTCCATAACAAAATGAAGTGTTTTGGTTTTGAACCAGCTATGTCCAAAATGGGTTGTATGTATTGTGTCCTGAAAGCTGAAGGGAATAATGGCATTGCTTTAGCTTTGTCTGAAGATCAGCTGTTAAAAATTGAAAAAAATCAGTATGAACTTCTTTGTTTTAAACCAATAACAAGACTCAAGATATTTTTCTGAAGTGAGAGGATAAATCTGTACTTAAATGGAAACCTCATCAAGTCTTATCTTTGAACTATTGGTTGTTCTTTGTTGAAGACCTCTTTAAGAGTTCTAAATGCAAATGAGGGAACAGATTTACTAAAAAGGCCACTTCTGTCTTTGCTGAGGGCTCATTCCTTCAAAGTTGCATATTTTACATTACAGTTTTTCCATTTCAATTAAGTATGTTATGATCCATAATTTTATAAGTTCACAAGTAATGTAAGTATCATGGGAAGAGAGGTAGGCTGTATCTGTTTTCCTCCTGATACTTAGAAAAAATAAAATGAGAAGAGAAAGCTGTAGAATGGAATTTTAAAATTCCATTTCATCGAGATTTGTTCTAATAGCAGGATCGCTCTTGTGAATAAGATGTGCATTGAGGTGTTGATTTTGTTTAGGTTTTTTTAACATCTTTTAAATTGAGAGCTGATTTTTGACCTGAGTTTTTAGTAAGATAGATTGGTTGTTTCACCATCTTCATTGTGATATGATAAAATCCTGCCAAATGTTTTTTCCACTCATTGCTTTTAGTACACCAAGGTTTGAAGTTTGAGATTTGGTTAATTGGTAAATACAGTTAATTATGGTTCCATTGACTAATTTTCTGTTACAATTTTAGTGTGACTTTAACCAAAAAAAAAAAAAGAAAAGAAAAGCTCAACTTGGCTTCCTCATAGCTTTCCTGTACAAACAACAGATTTCTAACATAATCCCCTTGATTTAACTTAACGTCTTACTGCTATTCCGGAACTATCAAGACGTATTTTCTTGCAAGAAGGGATTTAAAATTGGAACAAGACCACCTGGATTTAAAGAGAAATGGTGTTATTGTAGTTAATGGATCAAGATAAACAGTGATTGTTCTTGAACTGATGAAATATAACTCCCTTGCTTTGATAGAGAAATGTCTGATGGCTGTTTTTTGTCAAATGTGAAGTGCTGTTTGTTCATGAAAATATTTACCCTAATTATGTAAAAAGAACTTTTTAAAAAATTAACAATATTGTTGTTTAGTTTATACTTTGTTCTGCTTTCATATTTTATCTTCTGTCTGTTAACTGGCAAATGCTATCTGATTATTTCATCGTTGTGTACAGCAGTTCTCATGTCTTGACTAAAATTATGTTTTCTAGATTTCATCATCCAATCCTCAGTCCTCTTGAAAGCAGTTTCCAGCTGGAAGTAGATGTGCTTGCTCATCTCTTAAAGGCTCAGACTCAGATCTCAGAGTGGAAGTTCCTTCCGTCCCTGGTCAACTTGCACAGTGCTCACACAAAACTACAGACGTGGGGTCAAATTTTTGAGAAACAACGAGAGACCAAGAAGCACCTGTTTGGAGGGCAGTCTCAGAAGGCTGTACAACCTCCACACCTCTTCCTCTGGCTGATGAAGCTCAAAAACATTCTCCTTGCCAAGTTTAGCTTTTACTTTCATGAGGCCCTTAGTCGACAGACAACAGCATCTGAAATGAAAACTTTGACTGCTAAAACAAATCCCGATTACTTTGGGAAAATTTCCAGCTTCATCCGGAAGTATGATGCCGTCAATGTTTCCTTAATTTTTGACAATCGTGGATCAGAGAGTTTCCAGGGACATGGTTATCACCATCCCCATTCATACAGGGAAGCCCCCAAAGGAGTGGATCAGTACCCTGCGGTGGTGTCTCTGCCCAGTGACAGGCCTGTTATGCACTGGCCCAATGTGATCATGATTATGACTGATAGAACCTCTGACCTCAACAGCTTGGAGAAGGTTGTTCACTTCTATGATGACAAAGTCCAAAGCACGTACTTTCTGACGCGCCCTGAACCTCACTTTACCATTGTAGTTATTTTTGAATCCAAGAAGTCAGAAAGGGACTATCATTTTATTTCTTTTCTCAATGAAATTTCACATTCCCTTAAGAACTCCAAAGCTTTTGCGAGCTTGAAGCCTGGATCCAAAGGGTGAAATACAGACTGTTTACAAGTTGTCAAGGCAGTATGTCAGCCTTGAGGGAGCTGTAGCTTTCAAGAGTTACATAAATTTGTGATTCTCAGAGTCTATTGAAAAGGAACTTTTTTTTTAATGTTATAAGTTCCTTTCTTTTAAGCTAGCAGACACTTGAAAAGTATTTTTGGGCAGTACTCAGTGGGGCAATTTAATTGTGGGGTGCTAAATAGCCACAGTGGGATTTTTTTGGTGTGATTTTCAGTATTCAGTATGATTTATTTTTTCAGTCCAACAGTTTTGTTGCCTGTATCAGAAAGGAATATATGCACTTTATCTTAGTCTGATCACTGACTGTCTTCTACAGAGTTTATTGAAAATGTAAGGATGTATCTTTTCAGAAAACTGCATTGCCTGACAGGAATGATTTCTGGGAACTAAATGCTGATGCAAGGGAATATTAGAAAAAGTGAACCTGCAAGGATACATTTTAAATAAAAATATGAGAATCAGGAAAAGCACTATTGTTAGTTATAATTTAGTTTTCAAAGGGTTTAAAATGATAATTGAGGTCTCTGACACTCTCTGTTAAGCACCAGTCTCAGTTATAAATGCCCTGTGTCACAAAACTTGGTCATTGCTCCAGAACTTGGACTGGGGCAAGAAAAACTTCAGCATGGGCTGGAAGGCCAGTATTCACCGGAGTGCTGTGACAGTGTGGGTACAGGAATAGTCTTGGCTCAGACTAATTGAAGGAGACAAGCTGAAGTTGCACAGGTGTTCCAGAAGGAACAGCTCCACGGAAAAAGCAGCAAAGCTGTTTTCAAATTGTGCTTTTGTCTGGCTAACTTAAAAGAGAAGCAAAGAAAGGCAGTAGGAAATGCCCTTTGTAAATGTTTTTTTTCTAGTTTGCTGTTCATCTCAACCTGGATTTGTTTTCAGATTTTTATAAATGCATAGTTTTTTCAATCTGTTCAGTTTTAAATAATTTAATAATTAAGCCAAAACAGTGGGGATTTGGATTTAAATATATAGCCTATGCAGTGTGTTTACCTCATTCTAAAATGTCTCTTTCACCACTTCTAGACTGCAAGTTTGGAAAAAGTATATTTTCTAGTTACCCCAAAAGTGCTTTAATTTGGAAATCAGTATTTCCAAATACAATAAAAGGGTCAATTTGGCTGTACCTGTAGCCTTACATTGCAGGGTTCTAACTGTTAGCTATGCAGTTGTGCACATGCTTTTATGGGAATTCAGGAGCACTTATATACATATATAAGTGTAGTAAAGTTAAGTCATTAGTTGACACTTGGTAAGGTGTAACATCAGGTTTAATTTAAAAGGGAGTTTAGGTCAAAATGTTGGTTTCTGTTAAGACTGAAATATGAAAGGTACCATTGCAAACGTGTCTTTTAATGATTCCCTTTCTCTCCCACTTAAAGTTCTGGTAACTTGTCTTGCCTGGCTGCAAGTGCTGATTTTTTAACAATCATATAAGCACATTCTGTTCTCAAAATGCAAGCTCTGACTTGCCACTTTGTGCCAAATGGAGCCTTCTGTGCTTTGCTATAACTGTTGTGAATATCTGTGCTATTGCCTTTCACCTGAAGTCTCAGTCTGACTTCAGCATCACTCTCAAAAGCTCAGTCTGCTCTTTGTTGCTGGAAAATAACCAGAGTTGCAAATATACCAGAAACTGGAGGGTACCTGTTTGTAACAGCATTACACTTTGCAGCTTGAATTGCTCTTAACAGGACAAAGTTGCAAATGACAGTATTGAGAGAGTTTGAGTGCTTCCCTCTGTGGGACAGTGACCTTGTAATAACATTGTAATTTTGACTTCCTCAGCCTGAGTAACAAGAATCTGTTGCTAGAACTGATTCCCAGTCTTCAGCAGTGTAATAAAGTGTTGTACAAAGTCTGTCTGCCTGTACAATATTTCCCTGTCATACTAACTACCTATAGAAAAGAGGAAAGAAAACAGGAAAGAGATTGTGCATGGCACAGGCACCTTCTTGTTCATTTCTGAGTTGCTGGGGATGAGTTGGAAGAAGTGAAGGAGAAATCTGATGCCCTTTGGAGCAGCTTTTACCGGTTGTTGAAATGGCTAGAGGCTGTTCCCAATGGTTTTTATGGAGAGAGGAAAAGGAGGTGACTGTTCAGCAGACCTGGTAGTTCACTTCCCATGCTCCTGCCACTGTGTTTGGCAAGTGGTGTCTCAGAATAGGGAAGGGATGTTAGGTGATGTTTCTGTGCAGGAGGAGGTGAGACCTGCTTTGCCTCTTATCAATTCTAAGGTGGTTTGCTGCAGTTTTCTTCACAGAATCTTGGAGAAGCAGCCAGAGGGGCCTTCTGACTCATGGGTAAGAAGTTCTGAATATTTTGGTTGATGAAGAAGCAAAGGGAGCCATAACCATTACCCTCATCGTGTGGGAAGGGAGGGAATGGAAGAGATGTGCAGGCGGTGGAGAGAATTGGGTGCTGGAGAAACTTTTGTGGAGCTGTCTGGGTTTCAGAGTCCTGTCCTTGTTAAGATCTCAGCCTTAAATTAATACAAGATGGGAAGCAGAAAACTGAGACTGTAGGAAGTAGCTTGGATGAGAACAGGTGACGCTGAAGAGGGGTGACGCTAGAATCAGTATCAAATAGTTTTGCAGAGTTGAGGTGTGCTATACCAAAAACTGTGTGTGCGGTGTGAGTGTGTGTGATGAGTGAATATAGGTTTGTTAAACCCATGAAAAATTCTGGCACAGTTCTTATTTCTTGCTTTGAGGAGTTTGTTTTAAATTACAAATAAGGTAGTTGGGAGTCTGAGTTGGGTTCAAACTGAAAGAGGGGAAATTTAGGTTAGATATATGGAAGAAATTCTTTGCTGTGAGGGTGGTGAGGCACTGGAACGGGTTGTCTAGAGAAGTTATGGACGCCATACTTGAACTGGTGTTCAAGGTCAGGTTGGATGGAGGTTTTAGCAACCTAGTCTAGTTCAAGGTGTCCCTGCTCATGGCAAAGGGGTTGGAACTAGATGATCTTGAAGGTCCCTTCCAATCCAAACCATTCTATGATGCTATATCGATGATGTAAAATTGGCTAGACCAGTAATGAAAACCTGCGTAATTAAGCGAGGAGGAGAAAATGACTGTGGAGTAAGTAAAGGAACCAGAAACTTAGTAACTGGAAAAAAAAATATATTCGTTACTAACTTCAGTACTGGAAAGATTGATCAGTCTCTTTACTTTAAGAACTGGAAAACAAATACACTTTTGCTGAGCTGGGTGATATCCTGTCTGGCAGCTTTTCCTCTGCACCAGTGTAGCTAAGCAAGATTAAATGTACTAATGTGCTTTAAAAGTCTTGTGTAAATTACTACTTTAAGTGCAAGATATAAAGATGTTTGTGATGGTGTACTGAAAGCCATCACTTCCAGACATATTTAAACATTTTTAAAACAGGTACTGAGATTTGATATTCCAAGTGCCACTCAGATTGCTTATAATAGCAGTGTGGAAGCTTATCTTGCAGTAAATTGCATGTACCTCATCACTTACTTCAGTCCATGAGGATTTTGGCAGAATATTTAATTTAGTAACCTTTTGCCTGCAGTGTGATTTTTGACAGCAAATGTATTCTAAGAACTCCTAGGTGTTTTATATTTATGTCTTATAAGCTGTTTTCTTCAACATGTGGTGTTCAGGTTTTTTTCTTGAATAAAGTATCTTTCCTTTTCTCCTGCCTTTGCATGAAGAGAGTACAGGGAATGGAAACTATTAATATATTTTGTATTGTGCTCCAAAGGACCGCAACATATGCATAATATTCAGGTTTTAATGATCTAAAAGTAATGTAAGTTCCTGGTACCTATTTGAATACTAACACTTATTGTTTATCTAATTGACTTTAAAAAAAAAAGTCTGCACTATAACTGGAAGCAATTTTATGGCACTCACACAGTTAATTATTGCTCTGACCTGCTCTTCATACATGAACCTTTTGAAACATTTGTGATCATTCTAGTGGTAGTTCTTTGATATCATTTATCTGAGGATTCCTTGTGTAGGTCAGTCTGCTGCTGCCTTTTACTGCACTGGGTCCTGATCATCTCATAACCAAGCTTTGCCTAAGAAAATCAGCAGTGTGCTGTACTTCATTCCTCAAGTCCTGTTTTTTGGCCCAGTGCCTACAACCCCTCCTCTTGCAGTAAGCACAGCTTGGCTCGTCCTGGGCTTGTGGTCAGCTTTGTGGTTGCTTCCAGAAGTGCTGGTACTAAGCTTAGTTGGCTGGAAAATTTGGTGTTTCTGCCCTGTTTTCTCCATTAGTCCTGTTTTCAGACTCTGAAAGATGTAAGCCAGCCCTGCCAAGGTGGATGCAGCTGAGGCCAAGCACTGCTTATTTGCTGGGGCTCTGCCTGAGCCTCAAGAGCGGTAGGTCAGTGTCCTGCCTGCTGGGGACAGCTGTTGTGTGGCTCAGCAGGGATGGCCTTCGGGCTGCGATTGTGCAAAGGCAGGAGCCGTTATGGGAAGAGCAGGAGAGGCTCTGGAAATGAGAATGCTGACAAAGGACAGCAATAGCATAATGCTTTGCAGAGCAGGCAGAAAATATAGAAGTCAAATGTAAGATGGAATTGGACTTTGATTTCCTGTTAGCAAAGGACTGATTTAAAGATTAAGTCTCCTTTGGAGGATAAAGGTATCAGATTTTTGCCATGAAATTGCTTTAGGTATTCAATCATTTTCCTCCAGGAACTGCCTCTTTCCCTCTCTTGTGCATGAATGCATTCAACATATTGCCTGACTTATTTTGCAATTGTTATGGGGCTTTTCTGGGAGAGTTTGCAGGCCTGAGTTCAGTTCTCTCCTAACTTTCAACATGGCGTTGCAGCTGCTGGGTTTGTGGTTGGGTAACAAAGTTCTCCACCTTGCAGCTGGGACCTGGCTGTGCCCTGGCCTCACGTAGCAGCATGAGAATAGCAAAATAAGGGAGGAGACAAGTCACTACAAGATGGGCTGGAGCGGGTGACAGCTCTGGGACAGACAGGCAGGGAGAAAACAGATGCTGAAGGACTGCATTGCAGATGGACTGTGAGCAGAAGGTTTTTGTTGGCCCCTCTGTGTTGTGGCCTAATTTCACAGAAATCCATATAGATTTTATGTCCTGAAAAAGCTATGCTAGACCCCGCCTGCAGTTGCAGCTGCTTGTTTTATGTGACTTCTTTGAAATAACTATACTGTTTCCAGGATGGTGGTGTTTAATCTTTAGGTATCAACAATCTTGGCAAAGCAGCTATTTTTGGGCAGGTGATTAAGGCAGCCTTTGTGGTATCCCATTGTTAGATGGGACATGCTGCTACTGTGCTATAAGCGAACATCTGAAGCTTCAGAGCAATGCAATGTTGTGCTTTATTTGTGCAGGTCACTGCTGATAAGACAGAATATGTAGTGGCACTAAACTTTTGGCTCTGTGGTGTATGCTTCATTTGCTACAAAGGTACTGAGAGGTTTTTTAGTGTGTAGAAGTTGAATTGTTCAGATCAGAGCCAAAAAGAGCCAGCATCACCTGTACTGGGATGCACAACATGGAACCAAGAATTGTAAATTTCCTGGGGAAAGGATGATGTGATCTTGAGCAAAATGAGGGCCAGCAAGAGATGCTAAGGGAGGCTGGAGGTGTCTAATTCCCAGCCTTTGATTTTGTCTTGGAGTTAGTCCTCTCTGGGAACACAAGCAGAGGGCATTGTCTCCTGTAGTACAGAATGGCCTGATGGTCTCTTAAGCATTTACTTCAACCAAGTTCAATGTTGTCTTTCACCAGAGGATTCCAAGTCAACCTTTCACTTTTCTATGTGGTTGTGCAGATGTTCAGCAGAGTCTCCGGGTATTTCTGCTACTTTCTCAGGTGAGGAGCAAACTTCCTCTCCCTGGATCATTCTCTTGGCAAATGGGGGATGAGAGGTTAAATTGTCTGAAGAGGAGAAACTCATCTGCTTTGTGGGTGGGTGCAGTCATCACTGTGTGAACAGTGAACAATAGCAAAAGGACCACCCTGCTTTCAGGAGGATCAAGGGTAGTGACTGCAGCCTGGAGTTGCACATCCTCCCAGTGTGCTTGGGTCTGGTTCTTCAGGGACTGGTAGTGATGCTTCCCCAAGGACTGCCTTTGACTGCCTGAGACCTCCATATCACCTAGAGGTAAAACTCCAGGAATGTACAAGGCTTAAAGAATGAAAACTTGGGTTATGGTACCATGCATTTAATGTGAGGGATCAACATTAGACTTGTAGTGGGAGAACTGAGGCTGCTTTTGCCTCCAGCAGTACAGCTGGCTCATGTCCCCACTCCGAGAGATGCCAGCTCTTATCAGAGGGAATGGGGTGGGGGATTGGGAGTACTAACAGGTTTAGCCTTCTGTGTTTAATCTGATGATGCAAAGCTGTCCAAACTGTTTAAAAAAGTTGGTGGATTAATTCCCATTCTAGGTGTAGAGCTTGCCTCTGAGTAAAGTGCCTGGAGCTCTGCTGAAGGCAAGATGTGTAAGCTGAATAAAAGCTCTCTTTCCCTTTTCTTCATGCATCCCTGTCCAGAGAGAGAAAGAGCAAATTACTTTGAACTGTCATTGGATAATAGCTTTTTGGAAAAAACCTGATCCTCATTTATCGTTACAGAAGCAAGGACTTACTGCAATGAATTAAGTTTTCACCCCACCCTCCTAAGAAATTTATCTACAATTTCACCTGCAAATTCAATACAGTGGGATGTAGCTGATGAGCTATCTCCACAGTGAAGTTATACTCTGCACTCAGGCTGGCTTTACTTGGAGGACTCCAAAATTTTGTACACTGAGTTTTCCCAATACCGCAGTTGCCTCAAGCTGGCTGACCCGCTGACTGTACCTCACGGTGAGAAAAGTGGGAGGCAAATTTCCAAAGCTGTGCATTACTCACTCTCAGGTATAAAAATAGATGAGTATAAATCTTGGTCCAGCCTAGTGGGATTTGTGGCACTATCTAATTTTTCTTGGTGTCCCTGTAGACTGAAATACCCCTTAGATGTAAGGCTCTCAATATCTAAATATGCTGTGGATGCCTCAGGCTCATCTGTACTTGGGAATGATTTGTTAAAACAATGGCTGCTACATTAGGAATGGTTCATTCTAGTTGTTTCTGACTGAAATTATAGGAGGATGGTGAAAAAAATCCCACCACCACCTTACTGTTGAGTTTGTAGTATGTCCAAGAAGGAGGTGCAAGTTCAGAGACAGAATAATCACAAGCTCTTGCCATATCTAGCTTTAAAGGTGTCAACCAAAGTATCTTCAGGGGGCTGATAAGATAATAATATATTGAAAGTGTAAGGCTCATGCTTCAGAGTGTAATTTGCTCATCAAGCACTGAGGGACTCGTCTGTCTGGAAGGTTTCTGCAACTGTGCATTAAAGGGACTTTATTGGTTTATGCTTTTCATGTTAGCATTTTCTTAAGCACTTACAAAAATAAGGTATGCTTCAAAAGAGCCAGATACAGCTTTTTCAAAAGCTGCGAGTTTCACAGACTGCAGAGTGTGGGCACTTAATTCAGCGCAGGTAAACAAATTCCTATTTGCAATTTTTGTGCCATTTCTTAATGCATATGATCAATATGTTAAATTACATTTTTGCCTCAGTAAAGCCAGACAACTGCCACTAGAGGGTAGTGTTAATACAGAAAGAAAAAAGTAATTTGTGATCTCTTTCCAGAATAAAATTATTTATACTCTCCTATGCATGCATAAATATGAGATAGATTTTACTGCTCTAGTCAGATTTGTTTGAATCTTTTTGTCTTTCTTCCCCATAGAGTGATTTATGTAGTTCTGTTTCAGCTGTAAACAGCAATAGCAGGTATCTCGTTTCATACCTTAATGTATATATGAATACTAAAATGATGTTGTTTCCTCTTCTTTGTGAGAAACTTTTCTATTGAATTACAAAGAAAAAGCTATAAAAGAGCTTTTGTGATTTTTTTGTGATTTTTGAAAACTGCCCTTCATTTAAAATTGAATTTCATTTTAGAAAAGAGGGAGTGTTTTTTTTCCATCTTTGCCTTTTTCTTCCTAAACAGTGGGAGAACTACATAATTATTGTTTACCAAGGCAGGGCAGTATGACCTGTTAAAGGCTACGTAGGGAGTATCAAGCTAGGGTTTAAACCTAATGCTAAGTAATAGGATTTTGATAGTCTAATGTGGGCAGAGCTACTGTGGTATATAATTATATATATATACATATGGTATAACAGTGTGTGTTTGTGTATATATATATACACATATATATACACATATATATATGTATGTGTGTGTATATATATATATATATGTATATGTATGGTATCACCATATATGTCTGATATATGGTTATACTGTACTAGCCAAAGTGGGATTATACCACACCAACCCTGAGCATTAGAGGCTGAGGTGCAGGGATGGGGCAGTGCAAGGAATGGGTGGCTCAGACCCTGGGGCCAATGTTGTGCTGCTTTGGGTCATCATGAAACCATAGAACGGTTTGTGTTGGAAGGGACCTTAAAGATAATCTAGTTCGAACCCCCTGCCGTGGGCAGAAACATCTTCCACCTTTCACAGGCCCCACAAGATGCTGCTGGGTGTGCTTGGGCATGAGGGCTGTAGGCAGGTGCCTGTGCCACTCCACCACTTCCCTTTGGCATGGAGACGGGGAGTTTTGCTAATGCTAGCTACAGCCTGCATAAACCCCAAGGAGAACCTGCAGGAGGCAAAGGAGGGGTGTGAGAAATGAAGGGAAAGTGGAGGGGACACAAGGGTCAAAGAAGGAGCAGCCAACAGGGACCTTGTCTTCTCCCATCTGTTCTCCAAGAGAGGCACTTCCAGCATGATTTATACACACAGCGTGTACCTGCAGCATTT